ATATATGAATTTGAATAAAGGAGGGCTCAAAGAATCCCTCCAGCCAAGCCGCATATCTTGACGCTCTAGCCCCACGTCTTTGAACTTATTAATTATATATGTATAATAATACAAATAAACTTTTAACTCAACAAAAACCCTTCAGCCCAATTTGCGAAAGATCCTAGGTGCTCCAATCGTAGCCATTCTAGCACTTTAGTCCAAAAACTTCGGCCGCAACTCATTCTTCTCAACAACAAAAAAGAATAAGCCCGGCCGCACCTTGAATGCAAATTGGTCCAACTCTTTGGCTGCAATTCCAGTTTCTCTCCAGCCCTCCTAACTCTATCTTGGCTGCCCCAGACCAAGGATCCGGCCGCATCCTCTTTGGCACCTCTGGCCGCAACTCCAGCGCTGCCCGGCCACGAACATTCCAAGATTCCGGCCGCAACTCCCTTACGAAAATTCGACCGAGATTTTCCAAGATCTCCTCCAGCTATCCTGGCCGTAACAAACTCTGAGCTCGGCCATATTTTTTAATTCCTAGCCCCGGTCGTATTCCAACAAAACCTGACCGCTCCAGCTCTTCAAATCTCGGCGGCCACTCTGCAAGACCCCAGCCCGGCCGCAACTCCATTCTAAAAAAAAAAAACCCGGCCGAGATTCCGTGAGTCTAGCTGCTCGGGCCGATTTTCAACAGCCCCAAACACACTCCAATTAGGAACGAACTGCCTTTGAACTTCAATTGTCCAATTTCTTACCCCTACTGATTTCGGATTGAGCCCAAAACTTGGGCAACATCATAATATGGTGGGAGTAGTCATTGGTGAATTTTGAGTGAAATCCGATCTCTAGAACTATGTAAGACACCAACCATTTCAATTAGGAACGAACTACCTTTGAACTTAAATTGTCCAATTATTTACACCTATTGATTTCGGATCGATCCCAAAACTTGGGAAACATCATCATATGGCTGGAGGAGTCATTTGGTGAATTTTGAGTGAAATCCGATCGCTAGAACTACCCAATACACCAGCCACCCCAATTTGGAACGAATTGCTTTTGAACTTCAATTGTCCAATTTCCTACACCTATTGATTTCGGATCGAGCCCAAAACATGGGCAACATCATAATATGGTAGGAGGATTCATTTGGTTATTTTTGAGTGAATTCTGATCTCTAGAACTATGGAATACACCACCTCTCCAATTCGGAATGAATTGCCTTTGAACTTCAATTGTCCAATTTCTTATACCTACTGATTTCGGATTGAGCGCAAAACTTCGGCAACGTCATAATATGGTGGGAGTAGTCACGTGGTGAATTTTGAGTGAAATCCGATCTCTAGAACTATGGTATACATAAACCACTCCAATTAGGAACGAACTGCCTTTGAACTTGAATTGTCCAATTTCTTACCCCTATTGATTTCGGATCAGGCCCAAAACGTGGGCAACAACATCATTCGTTGGGTAGGGTCACTTGGTGAATTTTGAGTGAAATTCGATCTCTAAAACTATGGAATACCCCAACCACTCCAATTCGGAACGCACTGCCTTTGAACTTGAATTGTCCAATTTCTTACCCCTATTGATCTCGGATCGAGCCCAAAACATGGGCAACATCATAGAACGTTGGGTATGGTCACTCAGTGAATTTTGAGTGAAATTCGATCTCTAGAACTATGGAATACCCCAACCACTCCAATTCGGAACGCACTGCCTTTGAACTTGAATTGTCCAATTTCTTACCCCCATTGATTTCGGATCGAGCCCAAAACATGGGCAACATCATAACACGTTGGGTAGGGTCACTTGGTGAATTTTGAGTGAAATTCGATATCTAGAACTATGGAATAACCCAACCACTCCAATTCGGAACGCACTGCCTTTGAACTTGAATTGTCCAATTTCTTACACCTATTGATTTCGGATTGAGCCCAAAACTTGGGCAACAACATAATATGGTGGGAGGAGTCATCTAGTTAATTTTGAGTGAAATCCGATCCCTAGAACTATGGAATACGCCAACCACTCCAGTTAGGAACGAACTGCCCTTGAACTTGAATTGTCCAATTTCTTACACCTATTGATTTTGGATCGAGACCAAAACTTGGGCAACAACATAATATGGTGGGAGGAGTCATTTGGTGAATTTTGAGTGAAATCCAATCCCTACAACTATGGAATACGCCAACCACTCCAGTTAGGAACGAACTGCCTTTGAACTTGAATTGTCCAATTTCTTACACCTATTGATTTCGGATCGAGCCCGAAACTTGGGCAACCCCATAATATGGTGGGACGAGTCATTTGGTTAATTTTGAGTGAAATCCGATCTCTAGAACTATGGAATACATCAACCACTCCAGTTTAGAACGAACTACCTTTAAACTTGAATTGTCCAATTTCTTACACCTATTGATTTCGAATCGAGCCCAAAACATGGGCAACAATATAATATGGTGGGAGGAGTCATTTGGTTAATTTTGAGTGAAATCCGATCAATAGAACTACCCAATACACCAGCCACCCCAGTTAGGAACGAACTGCTTTTGAACTTGAATGGTCCAATTTCTTACACCTACTGTTTTCGGATCGAGCCCAAAACTTGGGGCTCATCATAATATGGTGGGAGGTGTCATTTGGAGAAATTTGAGTGAAATCCAATGGCTAGAACAACCCAATACACCAGCCACCCCAGTTAGGAACGAACTGCTTTTGAACTTGAATTGTCCAATTTCCTGGACCTATTGATTTCAAATCGAGCCCAAAACTTGGGCAACATCATAATATGGTGGGAGGAGTCATTTGGTTATTTTTGAGTGAAATCCGATCTCTAGCACTTCCCAATACACCAACCACTTCAATTAGGAACGAACTGCCTTTAAACATGAATTGTCCAATTTCTTACATCTACTGATTTCGGATCGAGCCTAAAACTTGGGCAACATCACAATACGGGGGGAGGAATCATTTGGTTAATTTTCAGAGAAATCCGAACTCTAGAACTATGGAATACACCAACCACTCCGAATAGGAACGAACTGCCTTCGAACTTGAATTGTCCAATTTCTTACACCTATTGATTTTGGATCGAGCCCGAAATTTCGGCAATATCATAATATGGTGTGAGGAGTCATTTGGTGAATTTTGAGAAAAATATGATCTCTCGAACAACGGAATACACCAACCACTCCAATTAGGAACGAACTGCCTTTGAACTTGAATTGACCAATTTCTTACACCAATCTTTTTCGAATCGAGCCCAAAACTTGGGGCTCAACATAATATG